TATTTGTCTCTCTCTTTCTGACTTACTTCATTTAGTATGATAATTTCTAGATGCATTGGTGTTGCTGCAAATGGCTTTATTTCATTTTTTATGGCTGAGTAGCATTCCATTGTATCTATAGACACCATGTCTTCTTTATCCATTCATCTGTTGATGAACATTTAGGTTGTTTCCAAGTCTTGGCTATTGTGAACAGTGCTACTATGAACATAGGGGTGCATGTATCTTTTGGAATTATAGTTTTGTCTTACTGTTTTTAGTTTTCTCAGGAATCGCCACACTGTTTTCCATAGTGGCTGCACCAACTTACATTTCTACCAACAGTGTTGAAGGGTTCCCTTTTCACCACGTTCTCTCCAGCATTCGCTATTTGTTGACTTTTTAATGATGGCCACTCTGATCAGTGTGAGATAGTACCTCACTGTGGTTTTGATTTACATTTCTCTAATAATTAGCCATGTTGAGCATCTTTTCTTTTCTGTATTCTTAATGCACTGGCATTTGGGTCCTTGCAGACTGGAAACCACCCCTGCCAGGGTTAACTAATTCCTGGAGCTAATTTGCCCGCCAGCATGCCCTTTTGTGCAGACTGATTACTTTGAAGTCCATCCCCCAGCCCCCAGCTCCTTTTATCAAATTCAAAAATTAAGTGAAGGGTCAGGCAGATTTGGGGCTTCCTAGGTAAAACCCCATGGACGGAGGAGCCTGGTAGGCTGCAGTCCACGGGGTGGCGAAGAGTCGGACACGACTGAGCGACTTCACTTTCACTTTTCACTTTTATGCATTGGAGAAGGAAATGGCAACCCACTCCAGTGTTCTTGCCTGGAGAATCCCAGGGATGGTGTCGCACAGAGTCGGACATGACTGAAGTGACTTAGCCGTAGCAGTAGCAGGTAGATTTTTTACTAGTGGTATAGAATTTGCCTGCCAATGCAGGAGAGTAAGAGATGCAGGTTCGATCCCTGAGTCAGGAAGATCCCCTGGAGAAGGAAATAGCAACGCGCTCTGATATTCTTGTCTTGAAAATCCCACAGACAGAGGAGCTTGGCAGTCACAGTACATGGAGTTGCAAAGAGTCAGACACGACTGAGCAACTGAACACACACACTTTGTAAGGTAGATCTTACAAAGCAGTGGCAAGTGGAAGCAATGCCTTGGTCTAACCTGCATCCCCTCCCCTGACATGGGGAAGGAGCTCTTTGGAGCTGAGCCTTTCCTTGGGCACCTCTCAAGGTGCCCTCCTCACTCCCTCTGCTCTCCCCACACATCTTCCTCTTCTCCTGGGTCTGCTTCCTCAGGAGGAGTTCCTTTCTGCCTCCTCCCGCACTGGGGCTCCTTCGGCTGTGCCAGACACAGATGAAGTCCTTCCTTGCTGCCCTCTGAGCGCAGGGGGACTCTGGGAGCTTCGGCTGAGGGAGGTGATAGGGGCCGACTCCCCTGCCAGAGCCGGGGCNCACAAAGCAAGCTACTGCTTGCAGTAAGCAAACAGCTTATTATAATTTACATTGGAACACCGGACTTTTGTACACACCACCAAACTGCAACCCAGCCTCGCAGAAGAACAGCACATAAACGGCAAACAGGGCGCTGGCTCCTGATCTCTTTGTTGAGTGGGGTTTAGGTTTTCTCTCCCTGGCCCTCCACACCTCTCCACACTCTGTCAGCGACAATAAAAATCTGTGCCAATATATACATGTTCCTAGAATCACAGGTTTTTTGGAAGCCTATCTTGTTTATGCCCCACCCCATCTCCCACACATCAGGAAGCCCTTTCTCATAGCACTGGTGTAAAAGTACTTGAGTAAAGTATCTTTGGTGGCGCTAGTGGTAAAGAATCCATCTGCCAGATGACTGGATAAGGAAATTGTGGTACATATACACAATGGAATATTACTCAGCTATAAAAAGGAATGCGTTTGAGTCAGTTCTGATGAGATGGATGAAACTGGAGCCTATTAAACAGAGTGAAGTAAGTCAGAAAGAGAAACAGCAATACATACTATCAATATACATGACTATGTGTATAATAATACATACACAACATATATTAATGCATATATATGGAATTTAGAAAGATGGTAACGACAACCCTATATGCAAGGCAGCAAAAGAGACACAGATGTAAAGAACAGATTTTGGACTCTGTGGGAGAAGGTGAGGGTGGGATGACTAGAGAGAATAGCATTTAAACATGTATATTACCATATGTAAGACAGATGACCAGTGCAAGTTCGATGCATGAAGCAGGGCACTCAAAGCCGGTGCCCTGGGACAACCCAGAGGGATGGGGTGGGGAGGGAGGTGGGGGGTCCAGGATGGGGGCACACACGTGCACCCATGACTGATTCATGTCAAGGTATAGCAAAAACCATCACAATATCATAAAGTAATTATCCTACAATTGAAATAAATTAATAAATTTTTTTAAAAGATAAAAAAAAGAATCTGTCTGACAATGCAGGAGATGTAAGAGGTGTGGGCTTGATGCCTGGGAAGATCTCCTGGAGGAGGAAATGGCACCCCACTCCAGTATTCTTGCCTGGAAAATCTCATGGACAGAGGAGCCTGGCGGGCTACAGTCCACGGGGTCACAAAGAGTTGGACACCACATGTCTGAGCACACAAAATAACTTTATAAAGTACTTCAAAAAATATTTAAGTACTTTGGTGGCAAACTGTTTACTCACCCCCGAGGGAAACTTATACGACAGCTCTGTTTTTAAAAGTTATTCATACCAAGCCACAACAATCTTTTTATTTAAAAGTTTCCTCTTCAAAGGGACAAGTTTTATCAAAGTTAGGTCTTTAAAGGACAACTTAAAAGTTGAAAGTTTTCTCAGTTTAGCTGGTAACTTCAACATGATTCAACATCATCCATACTATTTGGCCATGTTTTCATTCTCCTGAGGTGTTTTGTTAAATGGAGTCTGGAATCCTTCTTTACTGCTCCCGCAGAGTAAAATCAAATCAAGAGTGGAGTGAAGGTGCTGGGCTCAGGGTGTGAAGAAGTTACCTGGGGACAAGAACTAGATACTTTTAGGGAGAAGAATAGGGACACAGTGATATTGTTGTTAAGAAGTACTAGTTAAAGGTCAAAGAGGAAGAGAAACCGTATAAAATTAAACGGAATCTTTGTAGCACTCAGGAACCCAAATGTTTGAAAAAATAAAACCAGAAGATGCGGCGATGGTTTCTGTTTATTCCTAGGCATCTACTCTCACATTTCTCCACTCTGCTGTGTCCTGAAGACTGACCTATATGTGCTACATCATCTTTCTTCTGGGTTTCAGATTAGCTTCTGTCATTTGGGACCAGGCAGGAGACTGGAGGGGAAGAAAATAAGGCTGGAATATTCATGCCTCCTCTCATTCTTCCTCCCTGTGGGGTCCCTGGAGGCTGGCTGCATCACTCAACTCAAGACCATGGCCTCAGTCTGGCTGCCCTTTTTACACTCTTCTCGTGTGTGTGTGTGTGTGTGTGTGTGTGTGTGTGTGTGTGTGTGTGTCTTTTCTGTCTTTGTCTCTCTCTCTCTCTCTCTCTCTCTGGATTTCAGTAACCCTCTCCCATTCAGGTCTGGGCACTGCAAACCCCTTGTGGTTTCCCACACCCTGCCCACAACTTTGTAAACAGTCCTGTTCATTATTAAATTGCCCAACAGGAATGATCCATTTTCTTCCTGCCAGCACCCTGACTGCCACAGTCAGTCCCATTCTTCCCCCAACATTTACTGTGTAGCTACTCTATGTCAAGGTGTGTGTTCATTGCTCAGTTGTGTCTGACTCTTTGTGACCCCATGGACCGTAGCCCGCCAGGCTCCTCTGTCCATGGGATTCTCCAGGCAAGAATACTGGAGTGGGTTGCCATTTCCTTCTCCAGGGGATGTTCCACACCCAGGGATCAAACCTGTGTCTCCTACATTGGCTGGCAGATTCTTTACCACTGAGCCATGGGTGAAGCCCCATACTGTAGTTAGGGGTCCTTTTTTCCCCATTTTTTTACTCTCTTTTTCTTCCTTTCTTTTTACCATCAAGGGAAAACTAGTGGCAGCATTGAAGTCTGTAGCCTCTAACTCTTAGACCTCAATCTTGGACCACCACCAGTGCGTGACACTCCTACTTCCTTGCCTAAAACCTGTCTTTTCCATTGAAAATCATGCCCATACACCTCCTACACATTCTAAGGGCTTTCACAATGGCAACAAGACAGTATGGTAAACAATTAATAGTCTTTGGAGATGAGCCACAGGAGGAGCTAGAAGTGAAGGTTCCCAAATGCATTCTAGGAGACCTTGCAACCACAGCCCTTCTTTCTTTAACAGCAATGATAATTCTGTCACTTTTCTTGTCCAATGGAGAAGGGTGAAATGAATGTTGGAAAGAGGGCAGGGAGTGAGTAAGCTCACGCCACCAAGGTGAGGCTTTAGTCCAAATACGTTTGAATAGGCGGCACTTTTAAGATCCATTTTTATCACAAATGGGGAAGTCGAGGGTCCAAGAGGTGTCTGCTTTCTCTCTGTTAGGTGCACACGGCCAGTAGTCTCCTTGCTAGATGAGACACTGTCTCACAGGTTCCTTCTTGGCAGCAAAGACAACCAGTCCTCTAGGTCTGCAGCTTAGGAGGCTTCGTAAGTCAAAATCACACACACACACAAAGCCACCCGACGGACCCCTCTCTTCTGTTAACCGATTGTGCACACCACTGCCTTACTCAGCCTCCTCTCAGAGAAAGAAGAGACACGGGGAAAGTTAAAAGAAAGTGGTGGGTGTGGAACCTTCTGGACTCTTGCTCTCAACAACTAACCAGATCGGTTACTCGAGCTCTCGACAAGCGCAGACGCCAACCACGGGATCCCCAGGGTGGGGCTAGTCTCTGAGCTGAGGGCCAGCTGCCCCCGCCCCAAGGCCCCGCATCCCCGGCAGGCCCGCGACAAAGCCCCTCCCCGGGGCGGAGACAGCTCCTAAAAGTCGACGCCGCGTCCCGCCGCGGGCCAGTACCCGGGGGCCGCCACCGCGCGGAGTATGGGGCGCTGATGGCCATGGAGGGCTACAGGGGCTTCTTGGCGCTGCTGGTGTCGGCGCTGCTCGTCGGCTTCCTGTCTGTGATCTTCACCCTCATTTGGGTCCTCCACTACCGAGAGGGGCTCGGCTGGGACGGGACCGCGCTCGAGTTCAACTGGCACCCGGTGCTCGTGGTCACCGGCTTCGTCTTCATCCTGGGCATCGGTACTGGCACCTCCTGGGAGGCGGCGGGGGAGGAGGGCCCGGGCTCCCGACAGAGCTCCAACCGATTGAGGCTGGGCGAGGGAAGGGATGAAGGAGTAGCCGGGGCCGGGGAGCCGAGTCGGCAGCGCGGAGGGAGGCGGCTGGTCCGGCGCCCGGGGCCCGCGGGCCGGGCGGACTTGGGCGAGCGCGGGAGCCGCGGCGGTGGGGCGGGGCGCGCGAGACTCGGGTTCGCTGGAAGCCGCGTAGCTGGGTCGACAGATCCGGCTAGGTTAACTGTTTGCTCCGAGTGGCTGGGACGCTACTCCAGACTACACCAAGCTTGGGAGCAGAGGGGAGATGCAGGAGCGCGGTGCGACCAGGCAGCCCGCGAGCCCCCCGAAAATCGCCCCCTGTGGGACCAAGCCTGCGCAGTCAGGGGCGCGGAGATCTCTTTAGGCAAGGCCTGTCGTTGAACTTGCTTTGAGGCTGCGGGTTAGGAGAGGAAAGCAACGGTGGTGGTGGTGGTGGGGCGGGGGGGAATGGAGTGGGGGAGAACTGGCCTCTTCTTGTCTCATCTTCTCTAATTTTCTCGAAAGCCCTGAGCGAAGGGGCCCGTCAGCGGGTGGCCTCACGGGTGAGTGAAGGAAGCATCAACTCTGGTTTCACTTCTAGAGCGTTAAACTCAGTCGAGCCCAAGAAGCTGCCAGGATTCAAAACGGTGTTTCGCTGCATCTCCAGGTTACTGGACAGTCTTGAGCCCGACTTGTTTTTGTGACTGCAGACTGGCGAAAGTTCCTCTGCGGGACTTCCTGTTGGGCACTGGCCCGGATTGTGGGGCCAGAGATGCCCGCAGGGGGCCCGTGGCTGCCTGGCTGAGTGAGAGAGATGCTTATGCTTGGGACTTCTTTGGGGTTTGCTGCCTCGGCCTGCATTCTCTGGGATGAGGCTGGCAGGGAGGCTGGCTCAGTGGATGGTTGTTTTTGTTTTGAGCAATAATCGACATATTCGTTTCAGGTGTATAACATGATTATATATGGAAATACCTATTACTAATTAACATCCATCACCTCACATAGTTTTTTCCCCTTTGAGATGGGATGAGACCTAGATCTCATCTCATTTAGCATTTAGAACATTGCTGAAGAATCCTCTTTAGCATTGTTCAGATCTACAATATATTATTATTACTTGTCACCACCGTTCTGCCACATTCCATCCCTTTAGAACTGGAGGGTTGTACCTTGTGACCACCTTCACTGTTTCCCCGCCTACCTCCTCTCTCTCCGGCAGTGGCAGATTTTGTCTTTCTGTAGTGCTACTCACAATGTCCTGACAGCTTTCTTTTCTTCCAGCTGCTGTCAGGCTGGAGGAACCTCTAGCTAGTGGTGCAAGCGCCATTTATTTGTAGCCACTTTCCAAAAAATGAAGTCAAGGCCTTGGCAGACAAAGCATTTAGGAAAAGGCAGGAGTAGTGGACTGGGGTTATGTCACAGAGAGGAAAGGACTGGGAAACAGAGGCCTCCCAGCTGAAACCACTAGCGTTGCCTCCGAGCAGGCTGCCTTTTCTCCACCAGTGTTTAACTTTCCCCAAACAAACAAGAGAACAAAAAAGCACCGACCTCATTCCTAAAGAAAAGATTTTTGTTTCCGTTTAAAACTTGGGCAGCAGCCTTGGCCGGTGTGGCTGGGTAAGTGGCATCCTCCCGCTCTGGAAGGTAGAGGCTGCTGCCAGTGTCCAGCTGTGGAGACGCCCCTGGTGTGGATGGGCATCCACCCGGGTGTGCATACCACTGGACGGCTGAGTCGTTCGTTGCGTAAGTCTCAGTTATTTTGCCACTAAACTAAAATGAGAAAAACATACTCGAGTTCCAAAGTCACTGTTGGCAGAAGCACTATTTCCTTCCTGGTGGAGCCCTCAAGTTTGGCCGGAGCTGTCAGAACCTTCTGTTTGCTCAAAGCAGTAGAAACACTCTCTTCATCTCTTCCAACCCAGTCCTCTGAGCAGTGCCTAATACTAAGAAATTTTCTGGGGGGGCTACAATATCTTCTCATAGTTTAAGGTAATGGAAACAAAACAGATGATAATACTTGTTTCTTGACTTCTAAAAAGGAGATGGCCCATCATTTATTGAGTGCCTCTTTGCACCCACTCAGGGCATTAATTCACAGATACATAGAAGCATAAACTGAGGCACGGAGCAGGTAAGTAATTTGCCCGTAGAAGTAGTACACATGTTTTCACTGGTTTTATTTTCAAGGTTCGTTTCTCTACTCTTATGGCAATATGCTTGTTTTCTGTAAAATATCCTTTTTAGAGAAGCAAAAAGCTTCATCTAAAAAACACTTGGAAACTCTTTGTTCATGATAGAGTCCATTACAGTTTTCCTAAAAGAATTTATAGTTTGTCTAAACTTTGGGCTTTTAAAAGTCTGTTTATATTCACTTTGCAGCAAAAAAAGAACATGGATATTTTGGAAATTTTCATCTGCTGCCTTCATTTAAGCATAACTCCTGTATTTGTATTAGTTTTGGAATGTTTGTCCTGTCAACATAACCCATCCTGTTTATTATATGGATTCCAGGCATGCAAAGCACTTTAATCAAATGACACATTTATTATTTTTAAAATTTATTCTATTGAAGTATAGTTGACTTAAAATGTTGTGTTAATTTCTACTCTACAGCAAAATGATTCAGTAATACATATATACATTATTTTTCACATTCTTTTCCATGGTTTATCACAGGATTTTTTTGTTTGTTTTTATCACAGGATGTTGAATACAGTTCCCTGTGCTATACAGTAGGCCCCTATTGTTTTTCCATTCTATATGTAATGGTTTGCATTTGCTAATCCCAAACTCCCAATCCATCCCTCCCCACCCCCTGCCCCTTGGCAGCCACAAGTCTGTTCTCTATGTAGATGACACATTTAATTAACATGAATGTAAACTTTCTCATACAAATAGGTACATGCATAGACCTCATGAATTCTTGCAAGTTTTGGCCCACCTGCACTTCCTCACATCCAGCAGTAGAAAGCCTCCAGTAGAATGAGGAGTAAAGAGTTGACTTTATAGGCCGGGAGGGTGGGAGGGGGACACACAAGTTATAGACCATCCGTGTTATAAAAGCCTTTCGTACTGTGTGTAATTGCTTCAAGGAGCAAATTTTTAGGCTATGTTATTTCAGATCTCTAATAGTGAACATGATGTAATTGAGTTCTGTGATACACAGATGTTTAGAGATGAGAAAAGTGAAAGTTGCTCAGTCATGTCCGACTCTGTGCAACCCCTATACAGCTCATGGAATTCTCCAGACCAGAATACTGGAGTGGGTAGCCTTTCCCTTCTTCAGGGGATCTTCCCAACCCAGGGATCAAACCCAGGTCTCCCACATTGCAGGCACATTCTTTACCCGCTGAGTCACAAGGGAAGCCCAAGAGATTAGAGATGAGAAAGGAAAGCCAAAGTAGAGTTATTACTCTAAACATAAAATGCTTCACAAATGCAAACAGCCAACAATATTTAAAACTGTATGAGAACTGGTATATGTCCTTTGAAACACTTGTAAGAAGTAAGCTCTGAAGAAAGCAAGGGTGATACAAAGTTACAAAATATACATCTGTGTGTGTCTTTTGGAAAATATACATGTTCCAAAATAAAGTATAACAGACTATAGGATATTTAAAGCTGAAATAAAATTTTAAACTAGTAGGAAATCTAACAAACATGAACGAGGAAGTTTCAAAGAGACCTTTAGAAGAGCTTTGTGCTTCTCTGAAAGGAATGTTTCCCATGAAATAAGTATACTGCCAGGAAATCAGAGAAACAAAACTTGAAAAGGCCACAGAAAAGACTGAAACAAAAATGCTCTCAAAGTGGCTGCTGACCTTTTAAAAGGTTCCGCGAGGTGGAATGTGTTTTTTAGAAAAAGGCAGAAAATTCAGGTATATAAATTTAGTGAAAAGTCTCAGCAATCCTATACTCCTTAGTTTTCCATGTGTAGAACTCTTTTGACTATATAAACTGAGGGAAGAGAAATTCAATAGTGTAATGATCTCAAGTTGGTTTTGTGAGAGAATATAACTTCATTTAAGTCACATTTAAAAGACTCACAAGACGAAATTGAGTCGTTCTCAAAAGGCAAGTGCGATATCCTATTAACCTACCTAAAAGTGACCAAATTCCAAGACCACTTAAATATATTTGGAAAGGCTCTCGGGGTAAAACCTGGCAGAGAGTGGAGAAAGTGCCTCGGATACCTATTCCAAAACCAGCCTTTGGGACACTATAGATAATAAAGCCTCATAAAGAAACGGGGCTTTTTACAAAGCATGAAGACTCAATTCAAGACAACCCCGATCACATTTTTCTTTTTTGTTAAAAATAAGTACATACAGATTTCTTTGTAATGTAACTAATAAAAATGTTTCAGACGTGAATATTTCACTCGCTGTTGTGTCCCCAGTGTCTAGAATAACACCAAGAACTGGCATAAGGTAGGCCAATAAATAGTTGTTGAATGATGGTTCTCAGTACCATTGTTAATTGTAACAATGCAGTTTTATAGCCACTCATTTGTGGAGATAGTAATGCGTTGTTGGGTGTGTGTGTTCAGTCATGTTTGACTCTTTGAGACCCCGTGGACTGTAGCCTGCCAGACTCCTCTGTTCATGGGATGTTCCAGGCAAGAATACTGGAGCAGGTTGCCATTTTCTACTCCAGGGGATCTTCCCAGCCCAGGGATCGAACCCTTGACACAGTCTCTTGTGTCTCCTGCGTTGGCAGGCAGGTTCTTTACCACTGCACCACCTGGGAAGTCAGGGATAGTAATAGTAGCATCTGAAGGACATGCTACTCCCTTCTTCTCAGTGATTCTGCTGTTTATAGCTGATTTGGAAGCACCGATTAAGCCTCAGGGGTGAATTGGCATGATGGTGTACTGGAATTGCATCTCTACTGTAAAGGCCTTGAGCTTATTGGAGTGTTACTGCCTGCACCTCCTCACTCCAGCAGTTC